ACGCATGCTAAAGGAAATAACATAGGTAATTATTCTCAATATTTTCTAAATTTTAATTCCATAGCATATATAACCGTTTGAAAATCAAGGTCATTTTGATATCTATTAAAAGCCCTAGCAGTTATATAAAAACGTTCAAGAATCATACAACTAGTAGGATAATAAACACCAGACAATATATTTGTAAACTCATAAAAATTTGTCAAAATTTTTTTAATTTTAAAAATTATATTCCAATCGGAGAGAAAAAAAAAAAGAATGAATATTTACTACTAGAACGAGGACAGGTCAAGCATGACAAGCAACTTCGTAAGCATTCCAGACTAGGAACCTAGCTACCGTTACTTCAAAAACTGGGATTATTCCAATAATAAGGGACTGACAGAATTTCGAAAAACTTTATTAAAATGCAACAGAAGATTAGATAATATGCAATAGAGATTAGTTGTAAAATGTGTCTACATTAACAATTAGGCATAATTCGAAAACAATATATAAGGTAGACAAAAATGTAATGAGTAAGAACAATATTTGAGGAAAATCCCTCAAGCGAGGTGGAGTGAAGTGGGGGTAAGCAGCAAACTTTTGTTTTCAAGAGACTTGGGAAATATAGTGTTTTGAGTAAAAAGATGTTTGTTTATTGTAATAACATATGAAACAGTATCTTGCATTTATACTTGTCATAAGAAGGGAATATCTTAGACAAACTTAATTTTGTAGAATCACTTTAGAAAACTTCATACGCATAATTTTTAATGTGGTTTGATGAAGAAGATAGATTTTCCTTTTTTATTTTATTTTATTTTATTTTATTTTTTGGTTTTTGATTTAAGTTTTTAATTATTTTATGGGAAAATATTAAATTATTGTTTGGCCATTTTAAAATTGATTAAAATGTGATCAAAATTATTTTTTGGGTCAACTAATGACATATTGAATGGAAACCATCCATTGGGGCCTCAACCGTTACGATTTGAAAGGTTTAGGCCTTTACGGTGATGACTGCAACGATTGAAAGGTTAAGAGAAAGTTTACCATTGTTTGAAAGGTTTGGGGCCTCAACTACAATTATCCCTTAATATAATCAGATTATAGTTTAATGATGTTGATCATTATAGTGAGTGCATCTCCTAGGCAGTGTAATTATTAAGTCTTAGGGCCTGTTTGATTTGTCCAACTTTCAATGGAATTGGAAATGGAATTCCATCTTTTTCCAAAATGAGTGTTGATTGACATCATTTTCTTGCTTTTGTCTCACACACAAACCAATTCAATGATTTTGTGCAAAATCAATTCCAACCAATTTGGTGGGAATTCATTTTCCAGATTACATTTTTTTTTTTTTGGCAATAGAAATAAATTTTATCCCCAATTATAATAAATTATATTTCTTTAATGAACAATTTTCATGTAAAACAAAGACAAACGAACATCAAAAGATCCAAAATTTCAAATTTTCACGTGGAAAATTATATTAATCAAACGCAATTAATTGACAATTCCCAAGAAAACAATTCTAGACAATTCAATTCCCTAAAATTTATTTTCTTTCCACCTAAATTTCACTCTTGCAATCAAACAAATCCTTATTTCTATTTTATTTGTTTGTATACCGAGTCTGTTAAATTGTATTTATAGGAGCACTCCCAGAAATACTATGATGCGATTATGCCATACTTAAAAGCTATCTTGATGAATGTTATCGACTACATGCTCTGTGCCACAGCTATGGAATGCATTAGGATGGTTGGAAATGAGAACTTCAAAGAGGATGTCAAGCACGTAAATAACAAATAACATATTGTCATCGTTTATTATTGAATTTAATATATTGCTTCTTATTACGTGGTAATCAATTGTTTGTTCATTGATTTCTTTTAGATCTTACTTCAATCCTTTAGTCTTTATATACAACACATTTTTTTTTTTAACTAGCTTATGAATATCTTTCATGTTTACAAATAAATTTCTTTAAAATTAACATATTCTTATTTTTAACATTAATTAACTAACGTGCAACGCATGTTTATCCCACTAGTCATGTATAAATACAAGATAGGGACTTGTTGGGTATTTTAACCCTTTGATTGATAAAATGAAGACAATAAACAGAAAAGGCAGTGCAGAAAGTAAAGAACACAAATGAATTGTTCACCCAGTTCAGCATACGTCTAATCTAGGGGCTCAGGATTGACCCAAACACTAGCACACAACCAAGCCTTCCAAAGGAGAGTACAGATAATAGAGACTCAATCAAACCCAGATTTAGTCATCGATCAACAAAGGATCTCCTAAATCAGTAAAACTAACCAACAAACTCACAGATCACACAAACAACTACAGAACCCAAGATCAGCCTCTATTTCATGGCATGGACTACTGTAGCAACATGAATCTCATAGGATTCCACAAAAATTGGCTAAAACCTCTAAGTATTTCAGATCAAAACCAAGAAGAAAACTGAAGAACAAAGAGAGAGAGGGAGTCGTCCAAGAGAGAAACCCAGAAGACAGAATGGAATTATCGAGAATGGGCTCCAGCCCAAAAGTCATAAGGGGATGACTTAATCTTAACCATTGATCAAATCCAACGGTCCACAGCCCTAATAAAGAAGCACAATCCATGTTAAGGAGCAGGGCCAATCCTGGGTTGCCATGTGGCCAAATAAGTTGCTAATAGTGGGAAACAAGTTTTCTCAACAGGACTCGAATACAAGACGCCATCACAAGATAACTAGTATCACAATCTTTGCATGCACTGCACGAGCACAAGCCATAGCTTATAGGATTATCACAAACTACATATCCAAGTATTGTATCCGTCCATTTGTGCAAGTAGTAAAATTTATTTAGAAGATATATTTATAAAGAACTCTATTCTATGTGGGATAAATATAAGTATTTTGATATGACTTTGAAACAATATCAAGCTGTTAAAACATGGAACGATATAAGGTGCAATTTTTAACTGCAAAGGGACCGATATGTTCAAAGAAGCTATAGCATCTCATATCATGTATGTTTGGTAAATCATTTTGTAATTATAAGTCGGGGATCTTACAGATTGTGTGGATCAACAACTCGGATATTTCCAACAGTTATGTGGTTATCGATAACTTCAATAGTGTGCCTTAGCTTTTTAAATTAAACTGACAGTAGCTTCTTATTCTTGTTATTATTGGAGTTCAGTATCACTTTGGATCCAGAAAGAATTGCATCTTGCCATGGAAGGTGCAAGTGCAAGTTATTATATTTGTTAGATTAGTTTTATTTTTCACAATCGACATTCATTTAGCATTTTGTAATATCATAAGAGTCGAATCCTGTTGGTTGGTTCAACTGGAAAAACCAGTGACCAGTTCAAAACAATGGAACGTAATACAATTATTGTACCAGCATAGCATTAAGAACAAACAACAAAACCCAAACAATGGAAACACACAGTAAAAGAACTAACTTTTGCAGCTGAAGAGCTTGTACGAGATCGTTGATTTAGGAAGTCTTATCTTCTGAGGTTTAGCGCGGATAAGCAGCAAGAACTGTTTGTGCCATAGTAAGGGCAAGGGCCAAAATTGCACCTAGAAAAGCCAAGAGAGTCCAAGGACTGCTAAAATACTTGTGTATCCATTCAGCCATCCAGATATGTCTTTTTTGCTTGCAATGTGTATCAATCTTCGACTTAACATCAAAATACGCAAGAGGATCAGGTACCAAATCATTAGCTATCCCGTTAAAGAGTTGTGCCAATTGTTCGTCACTGCCTAATTTGTTGGAAATAATTCTTTTCTGCCTGAGCTCTTTAACATCATCAGCAGTATCAATCAGTGAATCCATTAGACAAATGTACGACGTAATGAGCAAATCAAGAGGTCCATGCGGACACATTTCATAAGCCACCAAGTTTAATAGCAAAGGTCTTGTTAAATGATCAACCTTGATTGAAGGAAGTGTAAGAATACCAGAAACAAGGCGAGGTTTGAACTCTACATCAGCAAGATTTCCAGTTTGATTTGGTTTGAAATAAATTCCTGCTGATTTGAGATCAGTTACTGAACGATACGATTCCAGGACATTTGATTCATTGATAAATGCATATATGTTTTTTAATGTATGTGTAAATATTGGCCTGATGAGCTTTTTCCGCACTAGTTGTAGAAGGTGATCCTGGCTTTCATCCATATCTGGTGGCTCCATTTTTTGCGCACTTTTAGAGGAGCATCCTGTCATTTTTTTGAGAAATTTACTGGCAATATTAGTGCCTAAATTTCTCCGAGGTGGCTTTGTGGTGAACAGCTGAAGGACATACTCCATGAAACTATGTGTATCTGTCTTTTGATCTATGGACATGAATTCCATCAAAACTTTTAGTACTAGTAAAGGAATTTGATTCTCTAGCAAGAACAGGTCCCTCAACACAATGTGGAAACTCTTATTCAGTCGTTGATTTACTGTTTTTTCTACCTCACGGTCCTCATCTGCCTCAGAGGAAGGTAACATAACAAAAAGCACAAACAAAGCATCAAGAACCATTATCCTGTTGAACTCTTCATCGTTATAGCGTTCAGTCGAGCCTTCCGCATAGCATTTACGGGCACTGTCACCCACCTTTGCCACCTCATCGTATAACTGTTCGATAAATACACCACGGGTAAGACAGAATTTCCCCCCGATTGGAAATTTTAGCTGCTCGAATTCTTTGAGCTGTGGCTTTCCAAAATGATAAGGGCCTATCGAAACTACGAGTGGATCAAAACAATTTCTGAATGATTCATTCGTTGATTCCTTCGAGCGCAGCAGTTCTGGAACCTTATCTATTCGGGTTTTCTTACTTGTGTCGTAATCACTCAAGAAATATCTTTAGTTGGTGAGCTCCTTGGTCTTGAAGTTGCTTGATTCTTGTGATTTTATATCACTTTGAGTGATTTCGGCACTTTGGTGGTTATCTTCTTTGGTTCCAACTGTTGTCATCCCTTGGACGCGAGCACGTATTATTCGCAGCTTGTTTCATAAAACTTCATCAAATTTTCAAAACTAGTCATAAGTTTAATTTTAAACTTCAGGAAATCAAAGAAGAAAGGAAAGCAGAATCTAGTCCATATATTTGCATCGAAAGTAGTAAAAAGGACAAACAGTAAAAGGTATATTTAGAATTTACTGAAGTTCATCGAACTCGATAGATTGCGGAAGCTTCAAAAGCCCAAATTCCTCCGTCTCTCCCTCACACACTAGCACGCAATGTTCCTCTCTCTAGAAACTGAAAATGAGAAATCGAGAAGTCTCTCTATATATGTGCGAATGTGTATGTACAAGTGCAATCATGGGAAGTGGTAATGGAGTGCGGGAGGGATATAATTTAAAGAAGTGTACCCATAGCGTGCCCCCTGCTGTCGATAGGCGTCCCCCTATTTACCTATGGGGCGCCTCCTCTGTCGGCCACACAGCCCTAATTTGAAAGTGTTGACTTATGGTTGACTTCATGTTTTGATTATAACAAACAAATTGCTTTTATCTCTAACAATTGAATTCGAGTCGTTATAGCTAATTGATCAATTGAGGACATAGAGATCGCTATCAAAAGATTCGCAATTTATGTTCAATGAAAATCGAGATAGAAGTCGAGCATTCAAGCAAAATCAATCAAGACGAGCAATTCAACGGTCAAATACCGAAGACATTAGACTTAGATGTTTTGATTCATATATAAAGGTAAAACGCTTTAATCATTAGCAATGAATCGTGAAAAGCTCGATATTGATTTTTTGCACGAAAATGAACTTACGTCTCAAAATAATATTTGCATAAAAATTATCTTTCAAGGATAAATATTTCGAACCATATATTTAAGAATGTATTTATCTTTGCAAAATACGTGAGAAAATCCTTCACGAAATGCATCAAAAGAAAAATCACGAAGGAAACCGTCCGGGGGCAAAACTGTACAACCGGACATCCGGATGAGGAACAGGACGTCCGGATGGTTCCCAACAGTCATTTTTTTTTTTTTTTTGTGACCGTTCTGATTGATTCAAACAGATATTTTTTGACTCGTTCGGATCACAATCGGACATCTGGATGGACAAAGACTTGATCGTTTTAAGTCCTATAAATACCACTTCATTCTTCCATTCAAATAAGACTTTGAAGAACATCAAAAGTGAGATATTTTCTTAGAATTACTTGAGCTTTCACTTTGCATTTACTTCATTATTTTCTTCATATCAAAACTTTGATTGATTTAAACTCTTTTAATTATCATCTTTATCAAAGTTCTTCATCTCTCTTTTTATACTTACTTATTTCTATCATTCATAGAAGAGAGATATATTGTGAAGAAAAGTGTTGAACTTAAATTGCATCAATTCTTCCACTTCTCTAAAACTTTGATTGATTGAATTAAACTTTGAAATCATCAAATTCATCAAAGTTTTCACATCTAACACTCGAGCTAGACTCATTGCTATTTATTGTAGTGTTAGCATACTTCTCTCTTGATATTTAATTGTGATTATATCATTTATTAAGAGAGAATCTTTTACTTGTAAAATCATTCTTATTGTGGGTCATATTAAGGTCCCGTAAAGCTCAATAAATTGGGTCATATTGAGATCTCGTAAGGCTCAATAGTGTGAGTTGTGTTGATGTCCCTTAAAGCTCAATATTGTAAAATGATCGGTGCTCTTTGCTTGTAAGTCACCGGAAGCGTTGTAAAGGGTTGGATTCAATCAACATAGTGAAAAAGGCCTTGCTCATGTCGGAGAGCTTGGTAACTGGGGACGTAGATAATTGCATTTGATCGAACCTCCATAACTATATCGTTTGCACTCTCTATCCATTTTACTTATCGCTTTTATATTTGTGCAAATTGCGTTGTTCCACTTGCTTATTTGTATTTAGTTGTCTTCTTTTATTTGCACTTATTATTTGATTGATCTACTTGCTTGAACTTGCTTACGATTATTAATCTATCAACGTGTTTTTAACTTATATGATTCTAGTTAATTATTCGAAAAAGTTTTAAAAATCAATTCAACCCCCGTGGTTAGTTATTCTTGGGCTTACAGAAAGAACAATGTTGGGGTGAGGGTTTGACACCCTCCCTAACAGATCCCTCACAATAGGGGGAGGGGGGAATTTTTTTCATTTTTTAATTCATATGGGTCTCGATATAAAATATTATGTAAATAGTTATATACAAGGAGTATTTTTCTAATTACATTTCACAAGCAAAATAGAGGATCTTTTTGTACGAAATTCATTTAAATCGATCATTTATGCCAAGAATGCAAAGATTTGGGAATATTTGCACAATTTTTGAAAGGCTTGAACCAATTATGCAATAAGAAAATAATTTTGAGACCATTCATGCTAACTTTCCTTTTTGTAACATAAGTGTAGTGGTGGCCATGGGCAAGCCAAATTGGCCCGGTCTATAGACAGACGAGCTCGTCTCATGTCCAAATCTTAGGATAAGCTCAAACCTTTGATTCATGGATCTAATGAGAAATTTTTATATAATTAATAAGTAAAAGTCAAAAGCGGAAAAAGTAAAAAAAGGGCAATACACAAGCCCAAATAAACCGGCTTGTGATCTGGTGCCCACAAGCTCAAACGAGTCGACTCTTGGACCTCCCGCTCGACTTGTAAAAAAATGTGTGCTCAACTCAATCCATG